TTAAGGCTAAAGGTTGCCCGACTAAGTATTGATAGTTGTGTAAATACTGTCATACTAACAGCTGTCTGAATATTTTTTGGTTGATTGTAATCTATTACATACCTTTCTATCAAAGTTATGTGACATTATCAAGCTGAATTTGTTCTGACTCCGTTTAACTCTGAGTTCTTGTTATATTCTATTACCATTTTCTAAACTATAGCGAATAAACTGTGATAATGTGAGAAATGTTGAAGGTGTCTGAATAAATTTTGGTTTGACTGTATCTATTTGATAAATAAAGTTAACCAACTAACATTATACATACCCTTTTGGTTTCTGTACCCAATATTTAAAAAATGCACAAATGCAATAAAAATATTGATATCGGTACTCGGTATCGGCAAGTACCAAAAATAGAAGTATCGGTATCGGGCGAGTACTGGAAAAAGTGGTATCTGTGCATCCCTAGTTTCAAGACCCAGTTGTTTTTAAAATTTGGACATTAAGTCACCAATGCAGTACCAAAATTGTTCATTGTACAAAAGTAAACAAAAAATACTATTTTTTTTTTTCTAGTTAGGGATCTTTTTTTTAAATTTTCACTGTTAAATGTAATCTTTAACTAATCTCAACATAACAATCCACTTTCCATACTGTACATTATTATTGATTGTAGTTTTTGTTTTATTTTTGACAAAATAGTATATACTGTATAAATCTATTTATCTAGCTGTCTGAACAAGGCACATTTATACGGTTAGTTGAATTTTATTTAGCATTGTTCTTTTCCCCCCCTTGCAGAACAGAACAGACCTGTAAGACATTTTCAGGCTGTTACCCACCATTTGAAAACCACTATTTTATAATAAAATAAAGATAACAGAATATGGTGCCTTCTGCTCATCATCTACAAGCTATTTTACTGTAAGTTCCCATATATTATACACTGTATTTTTTCTATTGATTATCAGCATTTACTACTCTCTAACTCATTAACAAATGTCAGTGTCCAGTGCACATATTTTCCAGCACTCTTTTCTACCCTGTGTATATCTTTTTTTTTATGGTCTGAGTGATGGTTTCTCCACTGTATTCGTCTGCTTGAGATATTATTCTCAATCAAGTCTTTGAAATCTGTGTACATAAACCTACCGCCATCTTTTTTCCTCCCATTCACTCTTCTTTTCCATGAAGAGGCCAGGCACAAGAAAACAGATACTTGAAACTAATTACATTTGAGAGGTTATTAGAAGAGCCTGATATCCGGGAGGTCATCATTAAACACTACTGTCCGCTGGCTGCTTACTAAACGAAGGTTTAGATCTAGAAGATGTAAGGTGTTGAACAACCAGACAGATTCTCACAATCTCACAATCCTCTGTTTTGTTCTGCTTCTGGTCCTGACAGAAAAGAGACCACTCTCTGTCACTCACAATCAGCAGGAGAGCTGAAAATGAGAAGCCTTCAGTTTTTTTTCAATCCTCGTTTCTTAAAAACCCCATGAAATCAAAATGTATTTTAGTTAATTGTTAAGCTTTGAGACCATCTACATACAGTATATGCTAGTGACAAAATACATTTTAGCAGCCTCTGACTAGTATTAGAAACTATCAAATCACAGTTCATAGCCATGATGGGTTTTTGAAAATGACAACGTTAACATATTTTTCATGTTATTGTTTTCTAATTCTAAACATATCGTTGTCATCAACACCCTAACAACAAACTAACCGCAGACAATGAGTCACTCAAAACTGTTTCTTGGACAGTCTTTTGAGATTTGAGGCTGGACTGAAATCGTAGAGGAGATCAAAGTAGACACAAACAAAGGCGCTTTGTTAGTATGAGGGTTTGGATCCTCAAGCTGGAAAAAAAAAAGTCTGTGGTTGGATGTTTTACAGGCATTAATGAGATGATTTCTGAAAGTCTTACCTTGATTTCGGTTTGCTGCTCCAAGAGAAGAAGCATTCGGTCGAACTTGATGAAATGAAAAATATTAATATTAATCAAAATATTTCTTGGCTTTTGTTCAGTATTATTCATTAATCCAGTGTTAATCTACTGGGTTTCAGTCACTTTTATCACCAGACCTTGAATTAGTATGTTTAAATATTTGAAAGAATTCTGTTTTACATATTAAATATTCTTATCTATATAAATACAATACAAAATGATGTTCATTATACCATGAGTGAAAAACTCACCAGAGGTGCCAAGATTATTCAGGATACCTGGGGGAAAAAAAGAAAGAACTAGCATGAATTAAAATACATTTACTGAAGCTTTTTAAAAAGTCAGATAAATATGTGATAACCTTGCTTCACAGCTTCATGTTTTCAGTGAGGACATCAGATATGGAGGAAAAAACATAATCAAACCAGCTCATATGATTCTGGCCACTCTCTGATTGTAATGAGCAGTTCTGTGTGCCACAGTATCATCACTGGCAATTACAAAACTGGGTTGAAAACGGTTGTTTGTTTCTAAAAAGCACATTTGCATTGGCAGGGATCAACAATGAGTGTTTTTTTTTTCTTGACCTTTTGGGCCAGTAGTTCCTATTTATATGTATGTATGTATGAATTTATACAAAAAAAAGTTATATTTTTCCAGCACCTGTTTTATTTCTAAAGATAAAACATAAAAAAATATAAAAAACATAAAAAAATATTTTTTTAATTAAACCGGGCTGAAACTCAAGGACAGTCAGTCATTATGGTATACATGGCAAAACATTACATTTAGACTAAATGTAAACTATAACAGATTACAAGTTACCCTATTTAAAATGTAATTAGTAGTGTAACTATTTTAATTACTTATTAAAGTAATGTAACTAATTCAATTTGATTACTTTTTGATTACCTTTCTAAATTTCTAATGAATGTTTTCAACTGTTAATCATTTAAAAACATTTAAACCAGGCAGGGTTAACCTTAGGACTCAACACTGATTACTCTCAGACACTTGAATTAAGATTATAAAAAATTAAATTTTAAAGCAGTCACCACAAAATCAGTCTTTAGCACCTCTTCTTATATATTTTCAATATAGATTGAAAATCATAAGATACAGTTTAGTAGTTACGATACTGCTTTTGAAATCAATTCTTTGCATAGCTATGACAGGAAACACTGGCATCTAACAAAAACAGTTGCGTTAGAAAAAACATTTCAACTTAAAAAATAAAGCATATACATAAACCCAAATATGAAATAAAACAGTTATCGAATAAGCAAGTGTCCTATTTTGTGTCCTAACCTCCTGAAAAATTGGTGTCTCATATTTTAGAGAAGTCAATGCAATTTAGGAATGAAATCAAATAAATCTGTGTGTATGTGTGTTTGTGTGTGAAAATATTCAGATCTAATCCCCTTTGTAATCACTAACATTTTCATAAGTAACTAATTTAATTACACATTTTACAGTTACATTTATTTTGTAATTAAATTCCGTAATTCCGTTACATGTAACTAGTTACTCCCCAACACTGACAAAAATACACTGATAAATGTATCTGAATATATACTGTATATATATAGTCCCCTTCATAAATTTTAAATGCAATGTAAAAAATCCAATTTAAACTCAGGAAATAAATTGGACACATTCTCAATCCTCCACCACGATGATTAGCATTTTTTTGCGGCAAAAAATGAACAGTGACCCATTAGTTCTCAAACCCAGTGTAACCAAAAACGTGTCCCTTTCCAGCCTTGTTTTATACATAGAGAAATCTCCTCTACTGTGTCTGGCAGTATGGTGCTGGTGTAAAGGCACAGCAGGACACTTTTGCGCTCTTTCAAAATGTTCCCTCCTGACTCTCTAAGCCCATCCCAACAGACAAAGACATGGATTTCATTTCCTGCTGAATTATTAGACGGGAGGTCACATGCAGCCATATATCTGCATGAGCAGTGTCCTGCATACCATGAATCTTAAAGGGGTCATATGATGCGATTTCAAGTTTTCCTTTCAGATAAATTGCCCTTGTGATCACAGCAGAAGACTTGATGACAGATGAAAGCTATTACAGCTCGATTAAATTCTGCACTTTCAGCAAATTTATCTTTATGTGAGAGTCATATGTTTCATAACCTCACATGTAATACGAGCAGCGTAGGAGAAGTGGCATGTCACTGTGATCATGCTCATTTGCGAGAAGGGAAACGATGCAACAATCGAGGACTATTGATTTTACCAAACCTGCAGTGGCAATAATGTTATTTTGATTTCTTATGCAAGCCTGTTGCATTGTGGATTTCTTGCCAAAACAGGTGCTAATATTGCTTTTGATATAGGTGGTCCTTGGTTTCATCTGTTGGGCACAGATGTGTCCTGGTATTGGGTTTTTAATAACTGGCTGTCAGTCTGAGCTTTGCCCCTGCATTATGAGGGCCTTCATAAGGGGGGGATAGGCTAGAGCGATATTAAAGGCTTTCAAAAGCATGTATACTCATACACAACCGCCTACACACTCACACAAAAGCACTTCAGGTGCACTGAATCTAATATTGCCATAAAAGATCACGCATGCATCACTGCAGTGTTGAGAATGCAGAAAAGAACATTCATAAACCGAAATGTCGCTGCCGCATTCCTCCTTGCGATGCAACATCTGGTAAAACGTCCTTTGCTTAGGACTGCATAAGTATATGGCTTGTGCTTGATGGCAGTGACTAAGTTTTGAGTGGACCTGCACTGAGGGGGCCAGAGAGTTCTCCTCTCACCATCTGGACAGTGCCGAGCCTCTCGCTGTCCCTGAGCTACAGTTACTGACTTCATTAGATTTATTAGGGCAATGAGCCCCCTGCCTTGGGTTGAGAACTTGACAGATGTGCCACTACTCAATGCCAAGATGAAGCTAAAGAAGAGGATGACTTCTGACTCTCACAGGTTGGGAGAAGCACAAACAAGCTAATAACAGAAGATTTTAGAGTTTATTTCAGGGGTGTCTGAGGAGGCAAGAGTGGCAGTGCAGGTGAGGAAATAATTGACAGACATGCAGAAAAATAAATATATTATATTATATTATAGACATTTTTTAAGTAAGTCTAACGCTCAACAGAACTGCATTTACAGTATCATTACTACTTACTATCACAATTATCACAGTATCACTTTATCACAATTTAAAGTTACTATATTATTGAAATAATGTAAAGTATTATATTACTAATATAACAATTACTAAGATGAAAATGAATATACTTTAAAATTGAATTTATTTCTGTGATGACAGCTGAAAGCTATCTTTTATTAACAATGTAAAAAACAGTTGTGCTGCTTAATATTTTTGTGGAAACAGTGATTTATTTAGGATTCTCTGATTAACTGAAATTTAAAAAATAACACCATTTAATTGAACTGTAAGTTTCAGAGAATGACGCATAAATGTTTGAACATATCTTTAATGTGCATGTTTACTTAATTAAATGTTTGTTAATATCTGTAGGCTACCTCCTAATTTCAAGCAGGATTATTAGTTAGCTAAAAGTAAAACGTCTCAGGTTACGTATGTAACCATGGTTCCTTGAGGGAACGAGACGCTGCGTCGGAGAACGCTTCGGGAATGCCTTCTGTGACCACGGGCTGAATCACATGTGAAATCAGTCCAATAGCATGACCAGGAAGCTATAAAACCAAGTGTGGCGGAGCCGCCGTCAGCTTCAGGAATGAAGCAAGCGCTGGCAGGGATGCCGGAAGTATGGCACCGAGACGCAGCGTCTCGTTCCCTCGAGGAACCATGGTTACATACGTAACCTGAGACGTGCGCACTGGACACATACAATTAAGCTTCTGCTGGTCTGGCTCCCTGAAGGGAGAAGGACTGAAGGCCTGAAGTACGATAGGCTGCGGTGCAGATGAGGGGACTTTAGGGACATACCCCACTCGAGGGTACAGAAACGCTTTGGCCAGACCGGGCGCAAAGTCAAGATAGGAAGGGGCCACAGATAGGGCCTGCAAATCCCCAACTCTCTTAAGAGAAGATATCGCCAGAAGAAAGGTAGTCTTTATCGTGAGGTGGCGATCAGAAATCTCCTCAATTGGCTCGAACGGAGGTTTAAAGAGAGCTTCTAGCACCACTGCCATGTCCCACGTTTGGACGCGAGATCATACGAGAGGCCTCAGCCTCAGCGCACCGCGGAGGAAACGTGTAACCAGGGGGTGTCTTCCCACTGACTGGCCACCGAGAGGGGCGTGGTAGGCCGCAATGGCCGCCACGTAGACCTTCAGAGTGGAGTGGGTTAATCCTGTAGAGAAACTGGCCTGCAGGAACTCACCGACTGGGCAGTTAGCTGGGTCGAACTGGCGGTCTCTACACCAGGAAGTGAAAAGTTTCCACTTCAAGGCGTACAGTTTCCTCGTGGAGGGAGCTCTGGATTGGAGGATGGTCTCAACAACCTCAGTTGAGAGACCAGAAGCTACTAGTTTGCCCCCTCAGGGGCCCATACCTTCCACAGCTCTGGGCGGGGGTGAAATATCGTGCCCTCCGCCTGTGAGAGGAGATCCCTCCTGACTGGAATCTCCCATGGAGAGCCGTCGAGAAGGAAAATCAGATCCGAGAACCATACTCGGCCCGGCCAGAACGGGGCTACTAACAGAAGACGGACTCCATCCCGGCGTACTCTCTCCAGAACTCCCGGGAGCAGAGCGATCGGGGGAAAGGCGTACAGACGAAGCCTTGGCCATGTCTGTACCATGGCATCCAGCCCCAGTGGAGCTGGATGAGTCAGAGAGAACCAGAGGGGACAGTGCGATGTCATCTGAGTCGCAAACAGGTCCACCTGAGCCTGGCCAAAAACTCTCCATATCTGCTTCACCACCTCTGGGTGAAGCATCCATTCCCCGGGCCTCGGCCCCTGCCTCGACAAGATGTCTGCTCCCACATTGAGATGCCCAGGAATGTACACTGCTCTCAGCGAGAGGAGTTTCTCCTGGGACCACAAGGATCTGGTGCGCCAACTTGTACAAGGGGCGCGAACGCAGACCTCCCTGGTGGTTGATAGGGACGCGTCCGTCGCTAGAGTCACGTGGCGACAAGGAGCTCCAAGCACCGGGCTCTGAGACAAGAACCAAGGTTTCCTCCACATGTCTAAGGCACGTAGGCATCTCCGCGTGACCTTGAACATGCGAAGCGGGTTTCCCCTCGGGGAGAACCCCCTGGTGTTGAACCACCACTGTAGGGGTCTAATGTAAAGCAGGCCAAGAGTAATCACGTTGGACGCAGCTGCCATCAGACCCAGCAGTCTTTGAAACTGCTTGACAGTGAGTGACTGGCCTTCTTTCACTCTCTTGACTGCAGTGAGGATCAACTCGATCTGAGCAGGGGACAAACGTGCCTGCATCCTGGTCGAATCCCACACCACACCCAGATAGGTGGTCCTCTGTAATGGAGAAAGCACACTCTTCTTGCCGTTTAGTCTTAACCCCAACTCTCTCATGTGAGCGAGAACAACATCTCGATGTCGAACCGCCAT